TGACTTTTTTCAGAAAACATATCCAACTTTTTTTCATGAAGCAGAAAGCAGCGCAACATACGTTTCTTTTTTAAATGAAAACATATTTCAGCAAAAGAAATAATTCAATTTGTATCAACTATCATGTGACTATTTAACCACGGAACAGTTATTTTGGGTCCATTTAATTTTAAAATCGATAGATATTGCATTGTCTTCATTCATTAGACAACAATTTACAGAACGAAATCATTTTCCGAGTGCAATCATCCAAATTACTTCCTTTTAAATGAAAGGAAATTACTTTCCCGTCATGAATTATTAGGCATTACCAACAGTTAAACATAGCAAAGCGTGTATATAAATAAACCCAAAACGTTAGATTTTATATTTATGATGTACAGAAAATGTCTTATAACTCATGTAATTAATATTAAAAATGTTAACTAATTATTTTATGATTAAATGTGCATTCCATCAATTGAAAAGACACAGTATTGATGCTTCAGTAGGATTTGATTTAACAGATTACATTGTAAGAATGAGAAGCTAGTATATAAAACCTCATGCCTGTCAATATTGTCTTTAAGTAAAAAAGGAGATTTGACAAGTTTTAAGCATCTTTGTTTATAGGGTTGAAAAGGATAAAATATTAAAGTGTGAATATATATAGAATTGTTATTATAATTGTTGAATAAGATTGCTCAAACATATTTTTCTTTATGTCAGTAAAGTGCAATCTTATCAATGTTTTAAATAATAGGTCAAATATAATATAAAATAAAGGCTATTAAATCAATAACGTAAAAATAATAATTAACTGGCATTATTGTGAAAGGAGCTTTAATCATAATTTACCTTATCACATCAGAAAATGATGAATTGAAAGGACTAAATTCGTTTGTTAATATAAACTTCTCACTTCATTAATGTTTTGTATTAAATAATTCGTTGCCAACATTTATAATGAGCGTAAATAATCCTATAACAGGCAAAAATAAATGTCAAATTGTAACTTATTTTTTCAAAACACACTTAGTTTGACAATAATTATAGACGTTTAGCCATTGGACATTGGACTTTTATACAGCCCTTTCCTCGCCATAATTACTGTACTATGGGTAATTTATTTGTCTATCCAATCTGTTTTCATATGAAAATGCTATTTACTCTTGTATCACAGTTGTACCAACGGTTTACAACATGTCCAAGTTAAAGTTACAACATGAATGTATATATCTGTCAACAGTTCTGTAAGGAATAAAAAACTTGGTTAAATCAAAATCTTTATGACATGTAGAAGTTTTATGCTTTATAAATATTCATTTAGGTTATGAGATTCTCATAGAGTGCACATTATTTTGTCTAATAATTGGTATTCTCTGCAACAATGTGTACCATAAGGGTGTTCGTGCCCGAGTGGTTTTTGTCTTTAAACCATTTACCCCTCACCACTGATGGTTCAAGTCTCGCCTGGAGCGCATGTAGTCTTCTTTCACTAGATATGCTATAATGTTGCCACAATTATGACATTACAGTGCTGTTACGTGTTAAAACCTGATAACACAAACATTTCATTGATGAAACTCAACTCTTGGATCTTCGATTTGAAGTCGCTTTTAATTTTTAGATTTCAAATGAAAACAAATTGAACATTATAATAAAGCTAAAGAAAGCATGCGTTATAATCAAGATTTGTTTGCTTAGTACCTGCATCATAAGAAATTTTACATTAGCAATATATTTCTGTCTTAAGTAGTTGCACCATTCTAGTAAATATTCTTTGAATAGATGACACTTATATGCAAATACAAATTTTTGGTATATGTGACTTTTTCCGTTTGTTATCTAAATAAAAACTCAATCATGTTTCGCCTTTCATAACAATTGCCTAAGAATTGTGACTTTGATCCTGATCTTTTCTTTTTAGGAAGTAATGTTAGTATTAGCTTTTGAATTAATGACGCTTATTAGAAAAGAAAAGTTTTGGATTTGTGACTGTTCTATTTTGGTATCTCAAACACGACCATGCTTCAGCATGACTTGATGTTTACCTTTACATTTTTCTATTAGAGAGTAATGTTAATATAAGCTTAAACTTTTGAACTTATTTTCTTTTAATTTCTTAGGGCAAAATTTCCAGTTTATTCCTTACAATTGTTCTAAAATACTTGCTAATTATTCGATAGACAGTACAAAGAACACATGCGGCGTAAACCTGACATGAATGATTGAGTATATTTATACGTCGTCAAATTCAACTGATGTGTGAACATTTATATGACATTGTTTGATTGATGTATTCTACGACAGAAATTCATGTTCCATTTAAAAACGAATTTATCCTATGAGAACGATTGCTTTGAGTTGCATTAGAAACCATGCATTGTAAGGATTAATGAAAGTCGTAAGTGAACAATGTTTGATCCAAACATTAGCACGTATATATTTTTCATCTTTACTGAAACGAATATTATAGAATTATTTTTGATCAAATACGTATTGGTAAATGAATGATGCTGGATGCTTAGTTAGGAAAGACAATTTTTGTAGGGAGGACAAACTTAAAATACGTATATCGGTTTGCCCCTTTGGACCTATTTGTTTTGGTATTTCCTTAAATAGAGTTTAAAAGGTCATAATACAAAAGTGTGTAAGAGAAAAAATATTGTGCATAGTAAAACCATTTTAACAATATATCAATGTCTAAAAGGTTTTATATATTAAAAATAGTCATAATTGTGGGCACTCCATCAGAAATGCGTACATCTATGTAATATAATATACGAAATTTTCAGTCTTCGGCGTCAAGTTGAGTTTCCTTTAAAAAAAATAGTTTACTTTCATTGTCAAATTCATACCAAATTCATATCAATATCATACATTACATTTTCTATCTAGAAATATCAATTTTGAGCATGACATACATGCATATGTCAAAGTAAAATTAACGTTTAATTGATAAAGCTGCTTAGCAGTCATTAATTATTTTTAAAAAAAAACTACTTGCTTAATCGTTTACGTCAGTATCCGGTGAGTTGACGGACTTGATACTACATATGAATTTTACAGATGAAACTTCTAAAATCATTTGATACTGTTTATGTGTGTCCTATCAATTCAAATAGATAAAAATATTGTATTTGATTCATTTTTAATTTCCATATCATTTGCAGTAGTGGTTGCTTCTTACTGACAACATGTTTCCATGCATTATTAATCACGTAAGTTAGTAGCTGTGTCTTAAATCCGCAAATCTTATAGGGGAAATGAGTAACATGTCTATAATATGGTATAAACAACGACTGCAATTAGCTGGTCTGGACATTTTTGTGTAGTTAAAGATAGAACAAAGAATTTCTTTTGGCAAATCAGATATGATTTAGACATATCTTGGCGTCACTTCAATTACGATACAACCACATGTCACATGAAACTGGTTCAGGGACTTTCAAATATGTAAAAAGGAAGCTCTCCAACTAGCTCACACACTCAAGTTGCTCTACTCAGATGCCTATTCATGCTCTAACAGCACTGGGGGACATATTTTAAATCTTTTAAAGCTTGTGAATAGTTATAGGAATTCGTATACAATTCGTATATTAAATAAAGACAAGTCAGTCTGGAAATATTTTTTCCATTGTTTAAAAAATACCTATTAAGTGAACTTATATTGCACGAAAATATAGTTTTCTTTTGTTATAGAATTATTCCAAATACTTAGCGATTTGCTTATGAAAAGTACGACTGAGCTTGGCTGTAAATTTATAATATAACTATTTACATAAGTCTCAGAATCTTCAGGGCGTAGAGTTGTGTGATTCTGTTTGTCCGACTGTACTTCAAATTTGAAATGCCTCAATACTCGATTTGATTCGTAATTTCTGAGAAAATGCTGCATTTACTTATGACTTTTAATGCAATTGATGCATGTATTGAATTTTGATACAAACATACATACTACAATTTCGTGAAATATGATTACGGCCATACTGTAGAATAGAGAAAATTCATGATTAATAAATATGTCACAAACATTGAGATATAACATTGTTACACAAATTATATAACAAAGAAGCAATGTTAATTGGTTTCTAAAATTGTTGAATAAGAGGAAAATATTATGTCATCAGACAGTGTAAAATATTCAATTGAAGTACACAATTTGATATCTCACGTTATTCTATCTAGGTCCAGAAGCGGCACATTGGATGATAACAAAATTCAGATTGACGTACATGCATATAACGCTTTTTATACAAGAAACTCAAATACAATAAGTATATCTGATTGGTTAAAGAGAAAGTCAATATTTTGAACGCAAGTTTTCTCCTTATTGATGGTTACTTTCTACAAATATCATACCAGTGTTTATACAATTATGATAGGAACAAATTGTGCTAAATGTTCTAAATTAATTGATAGTATTTAACGGATAATCGTTTAATTAAACAATCTGATTTTTATCATGATCCTGATTTCTTATAATTCTTAATTGCCTATGATTATAGCTATTACAATTGCCGGAATAAACCGGGCAACTTAGTAAGATTGCAGAGTTTCTTTTCATATTTGTTAATAGAGAAATAAGTTGCAAAACATAACATTTTTTATCATTGTCATATAAAAAATCAGCCTCTAATTTAAATTTGTTATTCCTATACTGCATAGGTTGACGATTTAACCGAAGGTCTATGGTTTCCTATTTAGAATTTATTATAATAGCACCCTGTCTTGTGCTTTACCATTCGTGCCATTTCATGTTTTGTTCGGTGTCCTACTGGGCTACGTGCCGATGGTCCTGTGTTGCTGATTTTGGGATGCGTTCATTGAATGTGACCCTTAATTGTTCTGTGTAATCATATTTTAGTATAAACTTGTTTTACAAAAATGCTCCATGTGATGTCATTGTGAGACGTGCTTACTGAGCAAAACCATTGATATTTTTACGATACATTTTGATTTGTCATTTTAATTTGTTGTTACATAGGATTTGAGAAAATCAAAATAAATACTTTTGAACAAATTTCTCATTATTTATTGAAAGAATTTTTATGACATGAATGCGATTTCGATCTAAAAGAATAAACAAATTAAACAATTTAATCATTGTCTATTGAATTATTTAACTTTTTGTCTTTCAAAGTTCTGAAATAAAAACAACGGTAAAGTACAACGTCCAAAATTAAAGGCAATTATTTTCTTTTCTTTATGATTGATTTGAAAGTACTAACTGTACTGGCATTTGCACTTTTGTAACTTTTGATGGCGTCCATTGTACGGCGGATTATTATAAACTTTTCAAGAAACCCATTACGTCAGTACGTCAACTAGAACCAGCCGATGTTTAATATATGTCACATGCATATGTGACGATAGAAGAATTTGCCAAATGTTCATTTAAAGACACTGATATACAAATGAATGTAGCCATCTGAATGATAGAAAAATAAGCTTCATGATAAAGACTTTATCACAATAGTAAATCATCATTTGATGATTGTTCTGCGCAAGTGCGGCTGAGGTAATCTATTTCCGTTTACGGTAACATGAAACAAGATTCAAGAAGCATTGTGTGTGCCCTCGTTTCATTGTCCTGATATTTTCCCGCTCTTTGTATAATTCTCGTATTTTTTCTACGATCTGTTCCTCCTTTTCGGTAAATTCAGCCAGCTCTTTTCGAAGTTCTTCTCTAAAAGCCTTTTGCAACTGTGAGTCTAGATCTACCTAGAATATATAAAAAACAAAGTTGAGTGTTTAAATTTGATAATTCTTTATTTACTTTATTATATTCATGTATGGATATATAAATGCAATATAAGATATTTCGGTTGTTTGCCAAAAAATCAATGTGTAATACAATACAAATGATAACATTGATAAATTGTATAAAAGCAGGTGAACCTTTTACATTATGTTGCTAGTGCAAACAAGAACATGTATCCATTTAAATAAATATCGTTGCATCAGGTTTAAATCATAAAATGATTTTTATCATCTATACTACTTATTACATGGTAATAATCGCAATTAATTTAAAATGTTATGTAGATATATATTTTTCAATCTTTTTATATGAAACCAAAAAATAAAAATGTAAAACGACGTTCAAAAAAAACGCAGACGCCGATTAGGTTTCAAAGATATCATGGATTTTATATTTGCAATAATTATTTTGTAACTACGTTATAATAAATAATATTATTTTATTAATATTGACGAATAGTTATGTTTGTTTGCTACTTTATAAAGTTATTTTAATTGACGTTGCACAAATAAAATTTAATCGCTCTCTACTTCCTGTCCAAATTCAAATATGATTTTATCACGAAGAAACCCGCTCAATTTTTGTTTGTTTTTCATTTATAAAAATATAGTTTCACTTTTAGAAAGTACAAATATTTTCATTTTAATCAAGCATAGTGTAGCTATTTGATCATAAAACGGTGATTGGATGGACCATTTCATTCCTAATCGATAAATATTGCATTGCGTTCATTTATTTGACATCTATTTTCAGGGCGAAATCATGTTCCGAGAGCAATTACCAAAATTACTTCCTTTATATTGGAAGGAAATCACTTTTATGCCATAAATAATCAGATGTATTTATACCATTAATTCTAATGATTCAATATAGCACTGCACATAACTATATAAAAGGAAAACGATTGATTTATGAAAAATGTTTGTAATGAAGCAAATGAGCATGGACAAAACAAAAGTAAGAATTAAACACACAATGAAATATTTCTCTTTTCGTTTCATATTGATATAAACAAAGGATCCTGGTCAATTGTTTAATGCTAATTATACACTTAAATCTTACGGAAGGACAAATAACAGTCATTATCGATTAATTCTTTTTGAGAATACTGCCGAATTAAGTCGCGGTTTGAACAATTGATGGTTAACTTGTGGTTGACAGTTGAAAATATATTTGCAAACGTTTTAACTTTGCCATATTACAAATATAATCAATGATTCTTTCGCCATTAATGATTATCAGTTCCTGAAGGTGCATAGTTATTTAAATTTCAAAAGAGCAAGTATTTGTGATTTAAGCTTGGTGAACTAAGACAAACTTTTCCTTTATGAAAGGTCGGAAAGGGAAATATTAGAAGCATGACAGTATAAAAACATTTAAATATTTGTTGTCTTGGGTTTATTAGATATACGGTTGTGAATGCCGAATTGGACTTTATACAAATAATTAATAAAACACAATTAAAACAACAACAACAATTTCTAGATATATATATATATTGTTTCTCATAAAATAACGCGATGATAAAATATTCAATGGGTTATTACTTTGTTTATGTTATATGTAAGATCAGTATGTTCTTTATGTTAAATCAAATAATTATGTCATATATTCTCATGTTAGCTTAGAGGTTAAATATAATTTAGTATTCTGTGATTCACTGGTTACATTTTTACACGTTATACGCTTAATATTCCATGGATAGTTATCATGCTGTTTATGCAATCTTGTAGATCAAAGCTTTATTTCACACTACAGAGCCATTTATGTCTCATTCATTTAACACAGTAATATTATTGGTTCAAGACATGATTATCTACGGTTTTCAACAGTTCTATTGGGAGTCACAAACATGGTTTAATCAAAATCCTCATGACATGTTGTAAAAACAACACCATATACATCACGAGCGCCAGACAACTAAATGTGACAATAAATGGGGAAATTTGTTTAGTTAATAAACAGGAAAAACATTATGTTCATGTAATTAAGTTAGAGCACCAGATTTTGTCAAAATATTGTATTATTTAGATTTTACGTAACTTATGTTATATAAGATGGCCTTAAAAGTGTCTGCTATATTTTTACAACATTTAAGTATTTATGGGGTTTTTTTACCATTAGCCATATATTTCCATAAACAACAAGTTTAATTTTATTTAAATTGTTTTTTTTCTTAATTCTTTACTATTGGAAGTAACATAAATACTAACTTAAACTTTTGAACTTTTATTATACTATTTTCTTAAGACAATACTTCATGTTTAGCAATCGGTCTACAATACCAGCTCATTATTTGATAGACACTACAAAGAACACATGCTAAGTTGCCTTGAATAAATGATTGAATATATTCATACGCTGTCACATTCAACTGCTGTGCGAACATTTATATGACAATGTTTGATTGATGTATCCTGCAACGGAAATTCTTGTTCCTTTTGAAAGACGAATTAATCCCTTTAAGAAAAATGATTTAAGTTGGGTAACGAAATCGGGCATTCAAATAGATAATGGAACGCACACAACGAAGAATTTATATTGTTTGCATCTCTTATATGCTAAGAATAAATCCAAAAGTAATTGAGAATACGAGTGTTATTTAATGAACATAACTTAAATTAAAAAGATTTTTAAAGATGAATAGATCAAGAAATTCGAAATAACGGCAGTGAGGTCAGGACAAAGGCAAGCTTAACAGCTTAACTTAAGCTTCAATGTTAGTTCTTACTTACTTATCTAAATATTTTAATGTGTTTATTTATATAGATAACAATCATCATAAGCATTTATGTAAAAACATATGTATCAATGATTATATAATTGAGAATATATTTTTGTTAAATTTAAGAAGTCTAATTCAGGTAACGTTTATTACATTATTACGGATACGACAGGATACTTATAAAAAAATTTGAAATTCTCTTTTAAAATACATTTTCTGAGGTTAAATATAAAATAACATAATGCATAGAGTGACATTATGTTCATGTTTTGCTGTCAAGTTGAGATGAATAAGTAATATATTTCAAAAGCCTGGCTATTGTAACGGTGATTGTACCAACAAATGATAACAAAAAATGTTTATTATACAATTAACAACTACCTAAATTTGTCGAAATTACCTTAAATCACATGAATAATTGGTTTTTCTTTCACAGTAAAATTTGAACACAAATATGGCAAAATGTCATGATATTCTTATTAATACCTGTTTACTGACAATTTTAACTTTGATGAGCATAATGTCACATTAATTGTCAAGACTATTTCTCTTTAATTTATTATTTGTTATGTTTAATATGCTCATGCAAAGTGATTGCTACCATAAATTTATTTCTGCACTGTCAATAGAGTTATAAATATGTCCATTAACAGAGGCTGTCATCGAGACAATGTTTCAATTATCATTTGTTACAAGATAGCAAGGCAAGCAATTTTGCTGTACAACACGTTCGTATTGCAACAATTACAGATTGATTCAGTACCAATTTGATATGGTTTTGTATTTTCTATGTGAGAGAGAAATTGATAGAAATAACAATTTGTTAAACAACAAATGACGACAATCGCATATCAATATATCTCGATTAATGTCTAAAACCGCTAATAATATGACATGATTCTCATATATCATTTATTGCACAGTTGTGCTGTGAATTCGTTTCCTTAACTGCAAATTATAGTGTTAACATTACGGTGCCCGTTATTTCCATGAATGATAGATTAGTATTACAGAATACATTGATGATATTTGTACTGGTACATAATTGTGTGGGGGTTTCTGTCACACTGATAGGGCTTCTTTAATCAGAAAATCATTTGATACTGATGAAAACCTTTCCATTGAGGAGAATTCAATATTGCTACCAAATAGTTTGTTTGATTATTATCCAAAACGTTGGATTTAACAAAACAAAATTATTAAATACCTTTTCCTAAATCTAATCTTTAAAATGATTCTTGTCAATTAAAGTTCTATTGATTACCTTTTTACTGAACATAGATAGTCATTGGATTTAAGGTAGACCATTTCTAATTGGCACTATATAAAAACTTTAAAATTGAAAACACAGGACAGTTATATGCCTTAATGGTCGACTGTATGCAAAATTTAAATAAAATATTACCGTTTTTTTTTTAAATAGTTATGGACATATTTCTTAACTAAAACTTTCCTAATTGAAGGGATTTTTTCCAGAAATGAAGAAACTCTAAATTATCTAAAATATCATCATTATAAAAATGTCTTCCTATTGTTCATTGTTAAGAAACAAATAATAACATTCAGGTCACAAATTACATGATCAAATGATTGTTTCTAAACAAAATGTTTTAAATACAGGTATAAAAATTTAACCCTAACACACCCACTTTAAAAACTTATTTGACCATTTCCCTTTTTAAAAAGCCTTATTCAAAGTATCCCTAAAATTAATCACAATGAGGAGCTGCTTTCAAGGTTTGCCTAAATTTTTTTAAAAGAATATTGGTTGATCATGCAAAATATAAAATACTTTCATCGTGTAGTTTTGATTTCATTAAACTTTGAAAATATCTGGTATCATATTTGCTATTAAATTTGGCATTATTTAGCATATTAATACCTACAATAATTATATAATTAAATAAAACACTTTTGTTAACATTAGGGATCTGAGAAATACATAAATAATGGTAAAAAGAAAAAAATAAAGAAAAAAGTAGCCCCTTCTGGGGTTTGAACCCACGCCCCTCAGTTTCAATGCAGTTGAAATGTGATTCTAGCCGATTTGAATACATAGTGAATGTTATGCATTAGCAGTGGTCAACCTCAACACTTGCCATTGTATAAATTATTATAGCCAACCTCAATATGCGTTAAACGACCAGCTACACGTAACTTGACTTTACTTGTCACTTAAAGTGAAACATATTCTATTGCAAATTAATTAATGTACCATCCTCAAATGTTGTAGGG